CGAGCGCTGATGGATGAGGCGGGAGTGGTGGGGAAGGAGCGAACGGCACGGAGCGGGGTTTGTAAAACACTGTTAGTGGGGCTGATTGTTCGAGAATGACGTGGTGTCATAGTGGGAGAGAAAGGGAGAGAGAGAAGGGAAGAGGCAGGGACGGGGAGAGGACTCTAGAGTGCGAGCGAGAAAGGAAGGAAGAAGGAGAGTAGAGAGAGGGGAGAGGAGAAAGACTAAAGTAAACACGAAGACATACTTGCACCTTTTCACAGAGCAGAAAAAAGTAACCGTTCCGTCATGGTAATGCCACGAAAATCGAATTTCGCCCGGCTACGTAAATGTTCTGTGTTTATAGTCCCCTTTCTGTCCAACATGTCTGAGTTCAGGAAACTACGAAAATTGAAGTGAGTTCCTTTCGAGCAAATACCTCGATAGCCTATGGCTGAGACACCAAACAAGTAAGACCCAGCTGTAGCTAGTTGATTATCTGCTTCCTCCCGCAAATTTGGCTGATCACACTACCCTGTTCTAGCCTAGCAAACTCATTGTGTGTTATATAGCATTTGTCTTTACCTGACTTGTCGTGTTAACCTAATGCGTCGCACTGTCATTATCGTTGCGCTGTCACCTAACGCCTTTTGTACTGTTTCAGGCACTGATCTACGAGAAATCGCTGAAGATTCCGTGCATATCCAACGACCGCGGAGCGAGCGACGACTCTCCGGATCCGCTCAGCTCGCCCGGTAAATAAATAAATAAGCCACCCTCGCCGCTGCCACCGCCGCCGTCAGCGCGGTCCCTCCGTAACGTATCAGACCAGCGCCGAGCGCAGTAACCAGAGCGCAGTAATCGCAGTAACCCGTCAGATACCGAGTGGCGAGCATGAGGCTATCCGGGCTGCTCCCGTCAACGTAATATCGAAGCTCACAAGCCAGACGTTCCAGATCAAATTGCAGTAGCTGATCTATGTAATACAGTCATCGAAAATGCCAGATTACTACTGAAGTTTGCTCGTCGTACTCCCAAACTGTCCAACTCAAATCTTGAAGTCTACGTGCCATGGGCCAGTCTGCGTGCCATCCAGTCACATTTTCTCACAATGTCCCACTTACGGCAGTAGGCATATTAATAGAATACATGTCTTATGAATAATGACTGGATGATTGCTTCATTTCTTTATTCGACCCGTCAGTCACCAATTGGTATCGATGACAGAACTCTACGTTTCCCATATCACTGCTGTTGAGTCCGCCACCGCCCCTAACCGTCCCGTTTTTCGGCTGTCTTCAGATGAGACGGATCAGGGTGATCACGTGGGGAACATCACCAGCCTCCAGACGGACGACGCCGACAACCTCACGGAGCTCATATGTCAGACGCACTACGTCTGGGCCATCCCTCTCAAGGTCAGTGAGGTCACCAGGGTCACAGAGGTCACTGAGGTCAGAGAGGTCACCAGTGTCAGAGAGGTCACAGAGGTCAGAGAGATCACCAGGGTCAGAGAGGTCACAGAGGTCAGAGAGGTCACCAAGGTCAGAGAGGTCGTTGACGAATTATTGGAATGTTGTGCAATTGTTATGGAAGGTTGTGATCAGGGCTGCGGAGTCGGAGTCGGAGTCGGAGTCGGAGTCGGTCGGAGTCGACAGTTGTGACCGGAGTCGGAGTCGGAGTCGGAGTCGATTTTAGAAACCCGAGCCGGAGTCGGAGTCGGAGTCACCGAAAATCTGTCGACTCCGCAGCCCTGCTAGGTCTGCGGAGTCGGAGTCGGGAGTTGGAGTCGGTCGGAGTCGACAATTCTGCCCGGAGTCGGATTCGGAGTCGGAGCTGGTTTTTGAAAGCCGGAGTCGGAGTCGGAGTCGGAGTCGCCGAAAATCCATCGACTCCGCAGCCCTGGTTGTGATTGATTGATTGATTGTTGAGTAGGTGCTTCGGTCCGCGTGGACCATTTCGCACCATAATGGAAGGTTGTGCTTTGATGTGGTTGTGATGGATGTGATATGTAACGGGATCGTGCGTGTGTTTTAAGGTACAGAAGTCGCTAGTCGGGGTTCTATTGCACATGGTCAGATAGGTCACTGGTGATCATTGTGCTTTACGTAAGAAAAGACGAGGTATATTTTGTAGGACAAGCCAGAGAAGTCACTAGAGGGGTCGTCCTGTACTCGCAATCTTACAAGACGGCAGCTAGACTCACCGGATGGGCTTATGCAATGCAACCTTTGGCTGTGTTTTTGCAATTCGCCTTCGATTTTCATGCTGAATAACAAGGACAGATAGTGGGCGGTTTGGTGGCGCATGTATGTTCTCCGGCCATCCGGTCAGGATGTGGTGTCCCGATTCAGTCTGTTCCGGTCTCCGGCGGCCCGGGCCGGGCCGGGAGAGGGCCGGTGAAACTGACCGACCACTAGGCGATGGCCGCTGGGGTGAGCCGTCACTGCAGTGGTGGATGGGTGCGATTTCCGGGACATCGCTGCACAAATTTAGTGAAGACCCCTGCGAAGAAGAACGTACCGCCGTTTTTTCCTCGTCCATGGACGGACCGGTCGCCGCATCCGTGAATATTATCAATATCTGGTATCAGCCAATTTGATGACCCGTATCTATCTGATCCACGGTATGAAGCGTCATCCACGCGCTGTCATGTGGCCTTCATCCTCGTGTTTGATGAGGCTCTGAGGCTAGATAGGTCGGTCAGCGGAAGCTGACTTTTGGTGCTATCAGAGGCTCACTGTACGTTGCACAATGAACGCCTTAAAATAGTAGCGAGCTCGGCGCCAGATGGGTGGGGAGAGGATCGTGCTGCCCGGCTGAAAGTGATATCATGGGTGGTGTAATGTCTGTCCTGCTGGGACGATTAATGAAAGGACGGTGACATTTGGTCCGGGCGAGAAACGAAACAGCGTAGTGTTTGTTTTGTGTGGACGCCATGATATCATCATCCTGGCGAGTGTTGAAAATAAGCATCATTTGTGACGATGTATGGGACAACTCAAATTCCTTATTCCTGGCTGATCCACCATATAGTGAGAAATGTCGGGCCGGCATTCAACCCACATGCCCAATGTTTCTACCCGATGACCGTGGATCAACTGGCCTATGATACCTACGTTTAGCTGAATACTGACAACTTGTCGACCTCTGCTGGCCCCTGCCGACCTGCCAACACCTGACCTGTGACCTCCCTCCGTCCCCTGTTCCCAGATCGTGATTCTGCTGGTACTCATCTACCAGCAGCTGGGGGTCAGTGCCATCATCGGCGCCCTCGTGTCCATCGTCGTGTTGACGCCGCTGCAGTTCGTGGTCGTCTGGTTCCTGCAGAAGAACAAAAAGGGCCTTCTGGTGCGTGTGACAACAGATAAACTCGACAGTCAGCTATTGGGGCGCTGCCGAGTCGGTTAGCGGTCGACTCTGTACTGAGTCAGTTGATTATTGCTGTCGGTCAACGCTCGGAGATAACTTAGGATAAAGTCCACAACGTTTGATTCTTTTTACTTCACTGAGCTTACTTATTCTCTTCAACTCCTTTCTAACGCGACGCCACAGTAGGTACGCAGTTCAGTTGCAGAGCTCCCACTCAGCAGTAAACTGCCTGATCATTGTATGGTATCATCATAAGATGCGACCGCTCTGTATATTTTGTCTGGCGGACTGTTTCACCGATTAAACAACTCATGTGACGATTGAACCTGACTAATGATTGGTAGTTGTCGGGTGCAGCCACAACGATTAGTCTTCCTTACTACCGGCACTGGTACCTTTCAATAGCACTTTTGGCCTGCGCTGTTATATTGTCGTACAACAGTCAACAATCACATCAACGCCTATTTGATATACCATCGACGACACAAACAGACCATTATCCAGCCTATACATTAAGTGAAAGGCGCCATCCATCCTGTTTAGATAAAGGCGGCGAAAGTCTTTCGCAGTGCAATAGCTAGCCTAGACTTGTGAATAGTTCTTATTTTTTAACCCTAGAACGCCTAGGGGGGGGGGGTTGTATCAACCCCCCCCCCCTGAGGTTTTTTCGAAGTGCACGCTAAACGGCTTGTCGTAGCGGGCTGAAATTTTCAATACCCTCTGGGGCAACCTTTGCGCATCTTTTGCCGAAAAAAATTGATCGGGTCATGTCAGGTCACGGAGTTATGACGTCATAAGAGGTACAGCCTCCGGCCGACAGTTACCAAACGTGTGCGCCGAATCCCTAGGTTTTCTGCCGGTGATACCCACATTGTTTGATGGATCATGATGAAACTTCCCATGCATGTTGGGGCAAGCATTGGCTATCGTGTGGTGCAAGAAAATTGACCGGGTCAGGTCAGGTCACGGAGCTATGACGTCACAAGAGGAACAGCGTCCGGTACTATTTTTGAAAAGCGCCCGAACCACTATTTTGCTAATTCTTGTCACCTCAATGGGAATATGCAGCAATATTAGCTTCTATAGGGAGCAAATGGACCTCCCAAATCCAAAAATACAATCAGATTTCAAAAATTTAAATTTTGATTTTTCGAATTTCTGCCGCCGACTGTGACCTTGCCGACTTCCGGCGCTCCCAACGCGCCATTTTTAGAGCTAGGGAAACGAAATACATACCAAACGGTAGAGAATTGATCAAGGAACACGATAGTGAAGGTTTCAAGTCGATATCTCCCACCGTTTTGCCGCAATCGCCGCGGAAAGTTGAAAAAGTTTGATTTTTTCGGAAAATTTGACCTTTGACCGGTCATAAGTAGGTCAAATGTTGACCTAGGACCAAAAAATATACCACCAATCGCGAGATCTCGTTGAGAGCAATCCGTTGGTTTTTTCCGCTAAGCTCTACGACCTTCCGTTTCGAAACGCCAGGGGGGGGGGGGTCGTAACAACCCCCCCCCTGGTCGTTCGTGTTATGAGAAATGGCCTGGTCGTGCGAGGGTTAAGTGCCGACAAGTATCCCTTTCAGGCTTATACCCACTTATGGTGTGAACGTCAACAAATGTTTTTTTTTTCGTTTCAGAAAAAGGGCGACGAGCGTCTGAGCCTGACCGCCGAGTTCGTGGGCGGAATTCGGATGCTCAAACTGAACGCCATGGAGTTTGTGTACAAGGACAAAATCCAGAAGATCAGGAAAGCGGAGCTCAAACTGCTGATGAAGGACTCACTCTTCTGGGCTCTGAACAGTACGTCATGTGGGAGGTCATAGTTTGGTGGAACGGGAGGCGTGTATGGTGAGGACATACACGGCCCTGTATGGTGTCATGTATGAAATAAGGACGGAATTTCTTATCGATGACGGTGTTGTATTCCTTTAATACTTCTTGTATAGACCAAAACGCATGTTTTCTCTGGCCTGCCGTGGACCGTCTCCCTATTGTACTTCTGCAATCGACTTGTACCTAACCTAACATGACCTGACATGTGAGCTGATCTCTGATCTGACCTGACCTGTGACCTCCTGTGCCTCCACTCTCTGCCCGGCAGCGTTCCTGACCCAGTCGTCGCTGACCGTGGTCACCGTCACCACCTTCGGCCTGTTCGGCGTCCTCGGCCACGAGCCGCTGGTTTCTGCTCGCGTGTTCAGCGCTCTGGCGCTGTTCAACCAACTGACCGTGCCGCTGTTCGTGCTGCCTATCGTCGTCAAGGCACTCATTGACGCCAAGGTGAGGCGGGTAGGGGACGAGTGTGTGTGTGTGTGGGGGGGGGGGGTAGTTGGCAGGGGCGTAGAGGGTCGATGGTCATTGCTGAGGCTTTTATTTATGACGTGGGATTTAATGATTAGGTACTCGAAAACTGATTCAAACGGGTCAACTGGGAACGTGTACGAGTAGATGCCGAGCTATCTGAAATGAGTGGGCAGTTAGGGCGACATTCGATAGCCGCCGACTTATTTTGTCTTTTTGCGTATTTGGATATTTGATGTAAAGTAAACCAAAATGACTCGCACAATGTAACTTCCTTCTTCCGTGTGCTCTACTATCACTTGATTTGCTTGTGCGTACATTTTTTGCGCTTCCGGGAAGTTTGCCCAGCGCACGCACGTTTTGTGCACACGGAAACGCACCGAGCACACAGTTGCACGCCGTGCGGTCTGAGTCGGCGCGGTTGATAGTTTGCTCGTGTGCAATATGTGCATTGCTAATTGCATTTTCAGTGCAAACTCTACGCCGATTTGTCTGGAGTCAATTTCAGCGATAGGCTGCAGTGTTGTCGTGACCTAATAGTCGCGGATTTATGCAAATCCGCAATTTCCGTCTGTCCGATACAGACCTTCCCCTCGTTCCAGTGGATCCCCCGTTATCTCCCTCCCCTGGAACCCATATTACATCGTTCCACGGCCGTCCAACGTCTGTATCTCGGCTGCTGATGTCATGTCAGTGCCATGTATGTAGTGGGCCGGATGCGGCCCCGGCGGCCGGCGACTGGACCGTCAGTCGCTGTTTACCTCTGAGACGATGTCCGGTTACTGAATGTTGACGGTAGTGCCAGATTGCGCTCCTGTGTTGCCGCCGGCCGACAGAATATACCGCAACTGGTTACGGGTGATTAGTGCGAAATATTCCATAGAGGTGTTCAGTCACGGATTGTACTAGCCGCGGATTGCGCAATGAAGCGTAACTAGATGAGCTTTTTCGTGTTAATGCTATGGCGTATAGAATATCAACCACCCTAAATATTCCATGTGTTAGTGTTTTGATGATGACTGACGACGCCTTAGAAATCACGCGTCACACTGCTAGCTTTGATATTTGAAGTTGTCGTTGACAACTTCAGACTGGCACAACAAGCTCGTCTACCCCGAAGACTAAGCGCTCTCCAGTCGAAAGAATCCGACCGTCCGCCTCCAGGCTAATGGTCTTCTTTTCTCTGACACTGCTGAAGGCTTCCCTGCTACCTTCTCTCACCCCCGCCCTGCTGGACACTGTTCTTTCTCACCCCGCGACTGCCCTGCTGGACACCGTCCCTCTCACCCGCTCTCACTCTGCCGACAGGCGAGTATTCGCCGTCTGACCGACTTCCTGGCACTGGCTGACGTCGAGGGAATTGACGAGGAGCCGCCGCAGACGGTGGCGCTCGCCTCCAAACTCTCCATCAGGCTCAAAGAACGCGACGCGTCTCGGGTGAGTGATGTCTCGTGGATGGGGTGTAAGAGTGGAACATGCATGTAGTAAGGTAGGGTTAAAGAAGTGAAACTTCAGGGGAAATGTAATGTGAGCTATAGACGGACATGTGAGCTAATGACATGAATTTGACAACAGCCGGAGCTGGTAGAGGTAAGGGTAGGGATCTGGGATCACTGCGCTGACAAATTCTCAAACTTGCATACAGAAATGCTACAACAGTTATAACAGTTGAATGTGTCGCATCTGTAAGCCAGCTCTGTCACTCGGGTAATTGTTGGTATGTTTGGTTTGACTCTTGGTGTTGGATGTCTCGCTGAAAAGTCTCGAGTGTGACAGCGGACTGGTCCAAACATCCCCTGGGAACTCCGAACCACGCAGGGAAACTTGGCTGCGTGTCGGGAAACCCACGCGCGGCTGGCGTAAAGCGGTGTTTACACTGCGACTTTGTGTACTCCGATGCGTAAACCGTCACTGTGTATCTATGTGGGGTCTCTTCACGAAGTCTGCGTACCACAAAGGGGAGAGTCCGGCATTGACAACCACGCAGTATTGGATGTCTCAGCCCAGCATTACCCGGCGTTGGGAGATGCGCTCATTAATGTGACACCAGCGCTGTAATGCAGGGCCCATAGTGCGTCAGCAGTGCTCGGTGTAATATTGCATCATTAATGGAGTGCACAAAGTAATGAGCGGCCGTCAATTCAGTGTGTGGCTGCTCTGAGATCGTCACATGAATTACTAAATACGATTGGCCTTCCACTTTGTCTCATTAACATCTTCGATAGCGTAATCATCAGCAGTGTCCATGTCGCACGGTGGGATGTATAGGTAACGTGGAAATTACTGTACCTACCCCTCCAGCTGTTTTTGAAGTCATCATTATGGACAATCGCTCACCTCTGACGCACATATTTCTGTCGGCTTCGCTGTTAGTTTTTACTGTCCAAGTGTATAACAGCCCAGCTTTACTGATATCGCTGATATGTGAATCGTCCCTTGTAACTCAACTCTCTATCAGTTCTTTTCAGCGTCTGATCCGCCTCGCTCCCTCCCTGCAGACAGACCTCCGTGGTGCCCTCAGCTGACCCTCCCCCTCCCCGCAGAGACAAACCTCGGTGGTGTCCTCGGCTCCGACCGGCCGACCGACCAGCACCTCGTCTGTCGCCTCACGGACTGAACTGCCTGACTCTGCACCGCGCCGAGAACGCCCCACATCCCTGGAACTCTCCTCACCGGCGACTCTGGGACCGAGACTCTCCGGATCCCCGGCCTACGCGTGGGGGAGCCAGGACTCTGTGTTTAAGCTGGAGGAGATTCCGGAGGGTGACGAGGAGTTCACGGCGACGGAGACGAGTGAGGAGTCGACCTCGTCCTCCTCTCCGTCCCCCACTGGAGGAGAGGGAGATGATGACGGAGGAGGAAGGGATGGGGATGGTGGACAGGGAAGTGGTGGAACGGATGGTGATGAGGGAGGAGGTGGAACTGGTGACGGCGGCGCCGGCAGGGAGGGTGGTGATGGAGCCGGTGGTGACGGTGGTACCGATGGTGCTGGTGCGGACAGTCAGGGTGGCAGTGAGCGGCGCAGGACGGCGCCGGCCTCACCATCCCCGACAGACGGAGCTCGGGACATGGAGGAACGGGTAGCCACCGAGCCGGGAACACAGCCAGCCGGTAACAATTCCGACCATATTACACCCGCGGTCAACGGGAATGCCGTCCACCTGACCCAGCCACCCACCAACGGAGCGGCGGTGACCGCCTCGAACGGCTCGGTCGCCCGCGCCTCTCCGCGTCCAGCCGACCAGCCGGAGGGCCGCGGGGCTCCGTGGCGCTTCCCACTGCCCACCATCACCCCCAAACCGGCGCTGAATCTGCAGGGCGTGCGGTTCACGGAACCCGGGGAGGACGCGCCGCCGTCCGCCGGCGCGCCGCAGACCCCGGCGGTGACAGTGACGGCGGCCAGCTTCTGCTGGCGCTGCGGCGGAGCCACGGCGCTGCGGGACGTGGGCCTGACGGTGCCGCGGGGGAAGCTGACGATGATTGTCGGTCCGATCGGCTGCGGGAAGTCGTCGCTGGTGACGGCGCTGCTGGGAGAGCTGTGTCGGACGGCCGGCAGCGTCACTTGGGCCAGGTGAGACGCACGGCGACGAGGGAGTGCTGAGGAGGTAAACGGGTGGTCTAGGAGACAGTTTGTTGAGAAAGGGCGGGCAAATCATGTTGATAATGTACTTGACACATCACAAAAGGTGTCTTAAAGGACAGCTATTTTTCAAGCATCGATGTGATGTGTTAGCGTTGAGTAACGGAAAACAGGTGAGTGATTTATCGTTATTTCAACGTCAAAATTTGTACGTCACAAAATATGTTACAACTTACAATATCAGTTACACTGTGGTCTGCACGTCAATATACAAATGGTAGTTTGCCGTTCCTGACATTTTTTTTTTATCCGCTTTACTCCTCTTTTCAGAAACACGACATTCGCCTACGCCTCTCAATCTCCATGGCTTTTCAACGACTCTCTGAGGGCAAACGTTCTGTTCGGCCGCCCACTGAAGAAGGGCCGGTACCAGCGCGTGCTGACGGCCTGTGACCTGCGGAAGGACATTGAGCTGCTCGGCGCGGACGAGGACAGCACTGCCATCGGCGAGCAGGGCAGCGTACTGTCCGGCGGTCAGCGGCAGCGCGTGGCCGTGGCGCGCGCGCTCTACTCCAACGCCAACTGTGTTATACTGGTAAGCAGCTGGGGGTGAGGGATGCTAATATCGCTCGTGGTCTCTAATTGATCAGAGCATAATGCCGTGTCATGTGTATTTTAGTGGAGTACGGCGGGATAAACTGAGTCCGTACTCTGCCATTGTGGGCTCAGAGCTCAGATCTGACGCTTGTCGTGTGGGCATTGTCGTGGGATAAATGGGGTCATTTCGACGTGTGATGCACTGAAATCTGAGTCCGCTCTGTGTGGGTTATACCGTGAAATAGTTCAGACCTGTGTCGTGGGATGCACTGACGCCGTTAGCCCGTCTCGTGTGGGGGCTCTCGTGGGATGGCTCGGACCCATGTCGCAGTGGATACATCCGGTACCACTCCCTGTTGGGTCATCGTTAGGGACTAAAGTGGGCGGAGGTGCGACTTCTGTGGGTTTGCATCGTCGTATTCCATGATAAATGTTCGTCCGTTTCTCTGTAGTTAGCCCTCTGAATCACAAGGATTAGTTCATCCTCGTACTAGAATGTGGTACCTGCTAACCTTCCAAATGCAGAATCGCTGATAGTTCGGCCGCCTGTTGCATCGTGGAAAGCTGCGACGTAATCCTGATTTATTCTATGGTACTGCATATTGTACACAGGTCATATGTCATTAATGCGACAAAACGCTGGCTTACAATAGTCACCAGCGTACTTATTTCGATAACTGACGCTTTCACGTTCACGTGTCAGGTAGTTTCTATCATTGTTCCCTACACCCCTGACCTTCGCCCTTCGCCGTTCCCCAGGATGACCCCCTGTCGGCGCTGGATGTCCACGTGGGCCAGCACGTGTTTGAGAACGGCATCAGGAAGATGCTGCTGAAGGAGGGGCGCACCGTCATCCTGGTGACACACAAACTGCAGTACCTCAAGTACGCCGACAAGGTGCGTGGTGTCATCGCCTGGCGCAGCTCGCGAAGCCGATGGTAGAATAAACGCGGAGGTAATATCGAAAATACCCGAAGAGTGGTTTTAGTTATCACGTTTAGGAACACTTCTTTTTATATCTAATAGCGCAGGTGATTTTATCATCGTTCCGATAGATACCAAACAGCCAGCGATACCTATCCGCGCACTGCTCCATAGCCAGTCACACTCATCCCTTCTGCTCCGCAGATAATCGCTCTGGAGGCGGGCCGGGTGCGCCAGCAGGGGACCCTGCAGCAGATCGAGGCCGCCGAGCCGGAGCTGGTGAACCGCTGGCAGGAGCTGATCCGACTCGACCAGCAGCAGGAGACCAAGGAGGCCGCCGCCGAGACGCGCACGGCACGGGAGCGCTGGCGACTCATCCAGGTCATACAAAAGTTCCGCAGACTGCCGGCGGTGAGTGGCCAAAGGACGGGAGACTCTCTGAGGGTGTGTGTGTGGGGAGAGGGGGAGGGGGCAGACTGCCGGCGGTGAGTGGCCAGAGGAGACGGGAGGGGGCGGGGGTGAGCAGACTGCCGACGGTGTGCGGTAAGCAGTGGCGAAAATGGATGTTTTGAATGAAGTGATTTGATTTGAGATGGCTCGCCATCCGAATAATGACGTCACCGCTTGGTAGTGTTACAGTTTTTACGGGTTGTTGACTTGCTATGTTGTAAACCAATGCCGTTCTATCGCATACACTCTCTTCTCAACAGCCGTTCTGACCATCGCACCCCCTCTCTCCGCTACAGGAGGGGCCGGCGCTGCCGCGCGACTCGTTCTCGGTCCGCCGTTCGGCTCTGCGGCGAAACACCTCCCTGCGCCACCAGGTGTCGCACCTGCTGCCCATGAGTCTGGACGACGGCGAGGAGTACAGCTCTGCACCGCGGCGCCGCTGGACCACCTCGGCTCGCCGCGGCCGCGGCTGGGACCTGCTGGCGCGCCAGTACGGCCGCTCCAGCTCGCTCCGACCGGCCACCCCGGGCACCCCTCAGTCGCTGACGGACGGAGCGGAGGGCGGCGACCCGGCGGCCGCGGCGCGCCGCCAGACCCTGCAGAGGATGGCCTCGCTGCCGCCCACCATGCCGTCGCCGCGCGGCCCGGCACGCAGCGGCTCCGTCTCGGAGGCCGGCAGACGCTGGGCGGACGGCCTCCACCGACTCATGGGCAGGTGAGGGACGCGGACGGCGGGAGGTCTGCTGAGAGAAACCGGACTACTGGGTCTGCTAGAGTAACAGCTGTTGTCGAAGTGCATCATTCTAATACCTCTTCCCCGCGAGGCTGACTTTTCTCGACGCAGCATGCCTTTTCCGCTAAGGGCTTTAGGGCATTCGTCTCATATGATGGATAGTAATAAAAACGTCTCTTTCATTTTACCATGCTTAGAGCATTATGCCGTATATCATTAGGGAAGCGAATGCAGATTTGTTATATTGTCGCCTTTCATTATCGGGTTATCACCGATTAATGGACTGAGACGTCACGGCGCACCAGTATCTATCGGGCCTTCCTCCCCACGTAACACCCGTCACCCTCCGGTCCACAGGCCGTCTCTGCGCTCCAGCTCGCGTCCGACGCCGTCGTCTGAGGACCTGTCGGGCCACCCGCCCTCCGACCAGCTGACGGCGCTCGTCTCGCTGGATCCGGAGCCGCCGGCGGCCCGGCCCCAGGTGTCGCGCAATGTCTCCATAGCGTCCGCCCACAGCGAACAGACCTGCGATGATGAGGAGGGTGAGTGGACGGCCGTGGGCGCACCAGTATCTATCGGGGCCCCCTCCGCACCTAACACCCGTCCTCCTCCGGTCAACAGGCCGTCTCTGAGGAGGCACAGGGATGTGTGGTACACGGGGCGGGGACGGACGCTAGTCCTTTTCGCGATTGTAGGACAGGCTGGTCGAAGGGAAGAATCCCTCAAGGCTTCTGTTCTTTGGTTTTTATGGTTAAGTATTTGTACATTTTTTGTTCAATATGTATTAAGTGTAGCACTTGTATTCTAAAGCATCGTGCTTCATCTTTTTTACTCGATAGATTTTAAAGGAATGTTCAGCTCCATGTGTTAACCAAGTTAAACGTTTTGGGATGTGCTGGGTGAATAGCTGCTGACGTATTTCGTCGCGTCTGGTTCTGCAGAGGCCGAGGTGGACTCGAGGCGATTCTCCGAGGAGGAACGGGAGAAGGGCAAAATATCGAAGAAGCTCTACCTCAAGTACATCCGGGCGTGCGGCTGGGGCTTCGGAGCCCTCTATCTACTCATGTTCCTGCTTACTCAGGGTCAGTGTGGTTTATAATAGGCTACTGTATAGTCAATTGTCTGGTCGTCATACATGAACTGTTGTGGAATCTAAAGACAAGGCTGAACCGACACTGCTGCCATTTTCTATCTTTTACTTGGCATTTTATGCGGAAAAAATCCCGGTCAGTCTCGACCGCACAGCTTTCGTTTCTGCCCGTCTCTCGCCGGCTTCCACCTAACCTTGTCTCTCCTCCCAGGGATGCACTTCTTCATGGACTACTGGCTGAGTTTCTGGAGCGAGTCGGCCTCCGAGTGGAACATCACCCACGCCCGCCAGTGGCGCCAGCGGCAGGCGGCCGCCGAGGCGCGCAGTACCGTGCTGCCTCAGAACGTCAGCCAGGCGTACGACCAGTACGTGCAGCGGCAGACCCGGTACTACCTGACCGTTTACGCTGTGTCGGGCGGCGTGGCCGTGCTGCTGGCTCTGGCGGCCAACGTGAGCGGTCAGTACGCAGGGGCGCGCGCCCGCCGGCACCTCCATAACAGACTGCTGAACGCTGTCACACGCAGCCGGAAGGAGTTCTTCGAGCACACGCCGGCCGGAAGGATCATCAACCGGTTCTCGACAGATGTCAGCTTCATCGACAAAGTGCGTGGTGGGAGAAGGGATGAGAAAGGCTGGCTACGAGCACGTGTTTCACGTATAGCGCGCCGTTAGGACCGTATCGGGCGTTGACCAGCTGTAGGATTATTGCATGGCGACGATAGTGTTGTTGGTCTATTGCGGCGAGTTTGGATGTCCAACTAAGGCAGTCAGGCTGCATCTGCATATCGGGCCTGAGCAAACTAAAGCATTTGCATTTTTTACAGGATGTTGTAACTTGGACAGTTTGTTACTAATGCGTGAAGCGCTGGCGCAGACTGACCTCTGCCCTTTGCTGCGTTTCAGAAACTGGCGACGGCGATCCACATCCTGCTGTACTTTGTGCTGCAGTGCGCCACAGCCGTGGTGGCCAACACCATCGTCAACTGGTGGTTCATCATCATCGCCACAGTCATCGGCTTCATCTACTACTTTCTGCAGAGGTTCTACCGCACGTTCGCCATGTGAGTCGCTTGAACGGGACGGGGGTGGGTGATGGGGTGACTGAGGATTTGAGGGAATATATGAGAACATTGTGACGCGCTCTGTTGGAGTGTGACGAACCGTCCATAGCAACTAAATAAAATGCCGCTAACTTTGACATCGGCAATACACTCCCGTGCCCCAGCTGCCCGCCAGTCTCTACTGATTTCCGCCCCCTCTCCTGCCCACAGCGAGCTACAGCGGCTGGACAGCATCGCGCGCTCTCCCATCCAGTCGCATTTCGCCGAGACCCAGTCGGGCTTGGCGGTGATCCGCGCCTACCGCTACCAGGGCCGCTTCTTCTCGGCGCTGCTGCAGGCGGTGGACACGCACCTGGTCACCTCACTGCTCTACGAGTGCGGCCAGCGCTGGCTGGGAATCGCATTGGTGAGTGATAGGAGGGGAAGAGGGCTGGGGAATGGAAAAGGCGAAGGAGAAAAGTGTGTTCTTGGAGCGGAGGGAGGAGAAACATTGGGGAGAGATGGTGGTGCACGGTAGAGCGGAGGGAACTCGGGAGTGGGGAGGGCTTAACGAGGAAGAAAAGGGACAGGCGATTTGATGATAAATTAAGTACGGAAATGGATGAAGCTATAATCAGTCTCACGGGCCTGTGTGTTTTCGAATGCTATCACAGCTAGCGATCTATCCATTGAAGTAGTGATATGAACTCTTGGGTGATCCTGTAGACGGTATCACCCCCCCCCCCCCATTCCTATTATCGGGCTGCACTAGATCTGCTAACCACCCTCCTGCCCCCTCCATCCACAGGACTATCTGGGCGCCGTGATCGTATTCGCGTCCAGCATCACGGCGGTGGGTGTGGCCGTGCACAGCGACCAGCTCTCCCCGGGCGTGGTCGGCCTGGCCATCAACTACACCTTGCTCATACCCATGTACCTGGTCTGGGTGGTGAGGTCGCTGAGTGACGTCGAGATGTACATGTGTGCCGTGGAGCGGGTGGAGAAGTATGGAAGCCTTCGGGCGGAGGACTACAGGCAGAACAGGATCGGTGAGTAGGAGAAGAAAAGAGGGGAGATGCAGGAAAGGAAGGGAAATAGAAGAGGGATAGGGAAGGGAGTCAGGAGAGAGAGAGAAGGAATGATGGAGAGGAACGGGAACAGGAACGTGACGAAAAAATCGAACAACAGTATTGAGGGGTCCAGGAGCCAGGGAACGCGATGGTTGAGCACCCCCGGGCGTGTGCACTAATTGTCAACAGTATATCGGCTCTTCGATGACTGTTGTCAGTGCAAAACAGTGTATTCGAACTTCGATCAACCAGTTTGCAGCCCGGCGGTTCGGTCTAAGCAATTTTTGCTACCAATCTGTCGTGTATGAACTCTACCCTTCAGAGATTGATACCGCCCGGTCACTGACCATCCCTCCCCCCCCCCCTCCGTGCCACAGTGGCCGACTACTGGCCGCGCCACGGCAAGATCGAGTTCTGCGGGGCCACCATCGGCTACAGTTCAGAGTCGGCGGCCCGGCTGCCGGCCGAGACGAACACGGCTCCGGCGGCGGCGGCCATGTCGGCGGCCGTGACGGCGGCGACAGAGGTGGCCGCCGAGGTGGCCGAGACGGCGCCCCTCACCCCCGTCACCGTCACCGTCCTGAGGGACATCAACCTCACCATCGAGCCCGGACAGAAGGTGAGAGATGAGGGCGCGGGAGGTGACTGTAAGGGGTCCCTGGAGCCACGGAAGAAAGATCGTATGACTGAGTGCAATAGAAAGAACCCTTGAGGTAACGCATAGAACCTCTGAGTGTGGCTGAAAAGTCTTATGATGGAGATTTTGCAGCAAGTAATGGAACCTAGTCAAAGCCTTCGGATCATTCGGATCTTCAAAGCTTTTGGATCAAAATCATTCGGAACGTAGAACGAACCCTACGGACCGTGCTTCTCGTCCCCCGGCTCTCCTTAGTTCGTAACACCACCATTCCCACATTCTTGTTCGTCTGTCGGCACTAACGATACCTCCGTCCGCTCTCGACAGGTGGCGCTGGTGGGCCGCTCGGGCAGCGGCAAGTCTACGCTGGCGATGGCGCTGTTCGAGATGTCTGACCTGCTCGAGGGCAGTATCAAGGTGGACGGACAGAGCCTGTCCTCGCTGCCGCTGCACGCGGTCCGATCACGGCTGGCGCTCATCCCGCAGGAGCCGCTGCTCTTCTCTGGGACAGTGAGGTCAGTTAGAGAGGATGACCGGGGGAGGGAAGGGGCGCTCATCCCGCAGGAGCCGCTGCCTCTGGGACAGTGAGGTCAGTTAGAGAGGATGACCGGGGGAGGGAAGGGGCGCACCGCAGGAGCCGCTGCTCTGCTCCAGGACTGTGAGGTCAGAATGTGGTGTGATATAGGAGTGGGTTGGGGTTTGGGAGGTTGATCAAACTGAAGTGGGAATGTCAATTAATGAATTAGTTCAGGGCAGCTATGAACGATGTGCAGTCGCGACTGCAATGCACGTGAGATCAGAACGGCACGAAATCGGGACTGCGTTTGAAGGCTGGAGGGCTGGGTTGGGTCATGAAGAGGTCGGAGAAGTCTGTGGCATTCAGCTGGCTCTGACTTTGTGTGTAGTCACAGCGAGCAACCTCTATCATTTCCTCAGGTCGAACCTGGACCCCAGGTGTGATATGTGTACTCACAGTGGTGCTCTGTACTATCCCCTCAGGTCGAACCTGGACCCCAAGTGTGAGATGACCGATGATCAGATGTGGGAGGCGCTGGAGCTGGTTCAGCTGAAGGACTTCATCTCCAGCCTCGGCAGGGGACTGGGTAAGTCATACAGCACAGCCCCTAGTCGGGTCGAAGCCGTAGTGACTTACATAGCAGAGTATCTGCTGGACATAGCTGTTCGCAATTCGCATAGCTGTCGCATAGCGGGGTACCTGAAAGTGAACTTATCATTTAATATATTGTATGTACTATTTAGTTCGCATACCTAAGGTGTAGAGTAGGGTAGAGTGGGGTAGGGGCCTTGGCTGCAGATGCCCGCCGTATGTCTGCAGTAGTAGTGCCTATTCTCCCCTCCCCATCTAGTGACCTGTAGTTGTCTCCACACCCGTCCCGTCCCCTTCCTCGGCAGACCTGTATGTAGTAGTGGTCCCCACACCTGACTCCCCTCCCCCTGCAGACCTGGAGGTGCAAGAGGGCGGTGAGAACTTCTCGGTCGGCCAGCGCCAGCTGCTCTGTCTGGCGCGCGCACTGCTCCGGCGCGCCCGTGTGGTGGTCATGGACGAGCCGACCTCCTCTCTGGACGCGGAGACGGTGCGCGCCCTGCAGGGCATCGTGCAGCGCGCCTTCCGAGACAGCACGGTCATCACGATCGCCCACCAGATCGCCACTGTGCTCGACTACGACCTGCTGTTGGTGCTGGACGGCGGGAGACTGGCCGAGCAGGGCCCACCCAAACAACTGGCCAAGAAGAGGGACGGACTGTTCGCGGGCATGCTGCGAGCCGCGCTCGACCAGGGTGCGAGTTTGACCGAGAGGATAGGATGAGGGCGGATCTACACCAGGGTGGGTGGGATAGGGACAGTGAGATGGGGAGGGGTTAGGGAGGACGAGGGATGCCAGTGCGACGAAGAAATGGACCTTGGGGTGTGGTCTTTACGTTGTCCAGCAATGGAACTAAGATTGACCCGGCCAGCGGGTGCGGTAGACTTCAAACATAGGGTTGCGAATCCTTGCTGCCGGGCCTGCAGTCTGCACTGGGGCCGGGTAGCCTGCCTCGGGTCTGAGACTATCACATTGACGTGGTGACTGATCGGTGCTATAACGTGATGGCGTTTCCCTCCGCTCTGTGGGAAGCCGGGAGACAGAGCCAGCGGCGGGTGGTGGCCGTCGGGTCACAGGTCACGACTGAGATTACGCCTTTCGATGGTTAACCCAGATCAGGGGACTCAAAGCTGATCAGTTGACCCGTGCGACTCGTGCGTCGGGAGATGGAAGGACTATTTCCGACCGTTGGTTCCCGACCAGTCACGAAGGAGTCGTGTGTGAAACTGACTTCGCGATTTATATGTGCTTTTATCGTGTATGAGATTCACCGGCGTGATGTGTTTTACCGTGTCAAATCGACTCAACTGCGCCAGTCGAGTGTTACGTCTTCTATGACCTGTTTTGACCGTGTATTGTTTATATTGACTGTTGTTGGACGCGGATTGGCTGTGTGTCCAATACTCTGCCTGCCCGGCGCGGTGGGTAGGCCGGCGGTGCCGAGCCCGCCCCGGCTGCAGGCCAGTGAAGGGGCGCCAACGCCACGGGCCAGTCTGCGTGCCGCCCGAGTATTACCACGTGTACATTGCACAACCATCGTTCATTGAGCGCGCTTTTATACAATACAGAGGCTATATTTGTATGAAATACATACGAACATGTTTGATGGTGCATGTAAAGACTGATCAAGTCTTTCCGGATAATAGTGCCAGTAGAATGGTGCAATTTGCCACAAATAGTCTTGAGCGGTGATAGGTATTTGCCTAGATCTGTAGATGTAGCACCGTACCTCCATTTATCATCTGGTCGTGAGATTCATCTGACGCTGCGTGGTATGCCTGCTATTTATTCCGCTGTTCATTTATCTCTACTTGTGCCCGCGTGTGACGCCGACCGGATTCAGGTGCCCATCCCGAGTTCTGGCGTGACGACGGCTGGTATCATTCTATCATTTTTAATACCTATTACTGATGCTCGACATTAGTTCTAGCTCTTCGTTGCAGCATGGGCTGTTCAACACAGGTTGAACTTGTGCCACTTGTCCAGTTTTGTCCCCTGCCAAAGACTTGCTTCCCAGGCTGTCCGATTGGAAGCCGGCCCTGAAAAGCTACAGAGAGCCGGCTTTGATCCAGAGACCTCTCGCTCCCATCGGAGACGTGCAGTCCAACCACCCCACATCTGTGGCCTCCCGGTCCATCCGGAACTCATTACTCCGTGATCCTGACGCCGTTGGCGCCCTCCTCCCCCTCCCCCCAGTCCAAACGCGTCGTGTCCGAGTGGTCCGTGTATTGGTCCGCCTCCGGTGTCGGGTGTCGGTGTCACCGGGGACCGTCTCCGGCCGGCGCCACGGCCCGGCCCGGCCCACCCACTCGCCGCTGAATTGACATTCGATAGTGCCGGAGACGGGCGGCGGCCGGCCGCCGGAGTCTCCGGCGTCCGCTCCGGCCGGGGCGGGCGGTCTCCGCCGTCCCCGGCCCAGAGTCCGACCACCTTTGTACAGTGCGACGCCGCGCGGGCCGCCGTCGGCCCGTTTGGCACCCGATATATGGTCACTAATTCTCTACAAACAGCCACAAACAGGCCGACGGTCACACTGGACAGACGCGCGGTGCCTAATATAACCACCACAGGTCGCACAGCACTCGCTCACCCGCTCCGTCTCCCGGTTTGTACAATTTATACATATTGCACTCCCTTTTCGGCACCTGATAACGACCAAAAATAAACAGGAATACTTCCAACATACCAGTACACTCAAGCGTATAATCAAATCCAACGGTCGGCCAAGATTTGTAACACCTAAACAGCGTCTGGTTTACATAACAACGCTGGCCTCGGGCGTTCAACAGCAAACACCAAACAACGAAAGCACTGGAAACGCACGCTCCGCCACATCTACACCAACTGCCGTGACAGCGGGCTAAACTCTGACAACGAGCGGCCTGAGAAAACGGGCGACTGCGACTCGAGGGCCCCTCGAGACCGCTCCGTCAACAACCTGACACAGCACGAGCACTGGCAAGAGTCGTGAAGTTGAAACGCTCCCGTAGAGCCCGCAACATTCACGGCAACAACACGACCAGCAGACGCTTCCACAGCGAGTTGGCGCGTCAGTCGAGCCAGCGGCGGCCGCGGGGACTGCCGCTCGGCTCGGCCGAGGATACAGGGACAGAGGTGCGGCCCGAGGCCTTCTACACGACATCTACAGAAACGATACAGTACAAAAAGACAACTACCTGGCTTAGGTAACTGCATGCGAGACGATATATACAGGATGGCACTGTATGTACAAAAATAAGGGAACAAAACTGTTTTGAAAGCCCCTCCATTGCTGTGCTGACGCAACGTTTAGTCTCACTCCGCCTCCTCTAGTCCTTCTCCGTCAATGTTCAAAGTCCGCGAGTCCTTCACTCCCCACGTCCACTGATCCCATCGCGGTGTCACTGTTCACGCCGCAGCCTGCGCACTGCCGCCGCTCTCGTCTTCACTCACACGGTCAGAGCGCGATCACTCGAAGCTCGTCCGGCGGCCCGGGGCCGTCTTAGTCAATCACAAACACCACAATCACCGCGGGTCAACTCAAGAGCGGAGCTGCTCCGAGGTCGCAGGTCTGCCATCACGCTCAGTTCGCGTCGTGGCCGCGGGAACCTCCCGGACGGCCAGACGGTCACACCCAACGCTGTGGACAGTTCACGTCCCGCAGTCGGGGATAGCAGTGAGTTCAGTCTCAGTCCGGACTGGCTCGCTCAGTCAGACTCGCCAGTCTGTTCCGCTCAGTCAGTCACAGACTCGCCAGTCTGTTCAGTTCTGAGTCACAGATTCGCCGGTCTGTTCAGTTCTCAGTCACATGTCTGTAATTCTCAGTCGGTTTGGTGGCTGGGTAGGTTGCCATCGGAACGGAGACGTTTAAACTGAAACGGAAACGGTACAAGCATCAGCGATGCTATCGAAAACGAAGAGCAGCGTGAGGGGGAATCAGACATAAATGGCAATTCAACGAAAATGCATCGAAGGAATCCGAACAATTATTACACAAGGAGACCGAGAAAAGGTACAAAGGGAGCGCAAGAATAGTGTTAAGACCGCACTGGACAAAGACAAGGCTACAACTGAGTTTAATAAATGGCATGGATCTTCGTAACTGGAGTTAACAAATATCGCCTCTGACCAAGCCGAGCTCTGCTCACGCGGGGTGCGTCATCACTCACCGCTGTCTCCGTTGATGTAGTCGATCAGTCCCATGCCCTTGGGCAGGTCACTGAGCGGGTCCTCGGCCGGCGCCGCGCTGGGGGCAGGGAACGCCACCTCGCCCCACATGGGGTCACTGCGCCGGCTCTGCGCGGGCGCGGGGGCCGGCTCCGAGGCGGCCACCGTCTCCTGGAGCACGTCCGCCAGCTGCTGCTGCGACCAGGTCGGCACCTCGGCGGCCGGCGTCCACTGGGGCGGCTGCTCGGCCGGCGGCTGGGGCTGTGTGTGCTGTGTCTGCTGCTGCTGCGGGGCAGACCACGTCTTCTCCACCTCCGCTGCGGTCCAGGTCTGCACCGGCGCCGGAGCCGGGGCGGCCTCCTTCTGTGCCCAGCTGGTCTTGGTGTCCACGGCCAGCGCAGACCAGGACTGCTCGCCACTTGCCGTCTCTCCGGCGGTGGTCACGGCCGTCCAGTCGGACTCCACCCGCGCCGTTGTCGGCTCCGACTCGGGGCTCCAGCTGCGCCCGCCCTCTGCCGGCGCAGTCTGCCCCAGGCCGTGCCAGGCGGACGGCGTGGTGTCGGCGGCAGTGGTGACAGCCGTCTCGGTCTCCATCTGCCACGTCTCCGCCACCGGCTGCGGCGGGGCAGCCACCGTTTCCGACCAGCCGTGCTGGGACACGGCCTCCACCACATCGGCAGCCGTCCACTTCTGCACCACCGACTCGGAGACGATGGTGGCCACCTCGCGCTTCCACAGACTGTCGGCGGCGCCGTCCGTCGACGCCGACACGGAGGCCGCCCAGCCGCTGGCGGCGGGCGTCTCCGTCTTGGGCGAGCTCCAGGCGGTCTCGGTGGTCGGCGGGGACCAGGCGGCCTGCGAGGCCGGCGCCTCGGGCTGCGGCGACGGCCAGCCGGTGGTCTCTGCCGAGCCGGGGGCTGTGGTCGGTGACCACGCCTCCTGTCCGGTGGCAGCGGGGGTCTCCGTTAGCGACTGCGGGGACCAGGTGGCGGCGACCTGTGACGAGTCCGCCTGGGACGTCGCTGAAGGCCAGACGGCCTGCGGGGAGACGTCAGTGCGCGTGGCAGGGCTCCACTGGTCTGCCTCGGCCGCGTCAGCCGCGTGCTGCTGCTGCTGCTGCTGCGCCTGTTGCTGTTGCTGAACCTGCTGTTGCTGCTGCTGCTGATGTTGGAGTTGTTGCTGTTGCTGCTGCTGAACATGCTGTTGTTGCTGCTGCTGCTGATGTTGGAGTTGTTGCTGTTGCTGCTGCTGAACACGCTGTTGCAGCTGTTGATGTTGCTGCTGGGCCTGTTGCCGTTGGGCCTGTTGTTGTTGAGCATGTTGCTTCTGCTGCTGCTGCTGCGCGGCCCAGCCGGTCGGAGTAGCCACCTCCTGTCTCACGGGTACGCTCTGCTCCTGTCGGCTCGTCCAATCAGCCCCCGTCGCGGGGGACGCCTCCTGGATCAGCGGCGCCGGGCCGGCCGCGCTCTGAGTCAGGGCCACCGTGACGAACATGCTCGGCGAGCATCCGACGTCCGGGGCCACCGGCACCAGCTGCATGGCCGGCACCTTGTCCGTCCGCGGCTCCAGCGCCGCCGGCCGCTGCACGGCCACTGCAGGACACGTAGGTAACAGAAAGTCAGCAGGCCGCTCAGTCCTCACTGGGCAATTTGACGATTCCCACATGATCCAACGACGAACGAAAGTGGGTCGCTTTATCACAGGTCGTTGAATCAGTAGCACGATGGCGTAGCACACAAATTAACGGTTTAAAGGGTTGACAACTATTGTCATGTTTCTATACAAATGAAAAACAAGCCCGATGTATCCCCTTCATTACATAAGACAGAGACCGTCCGTGTCAGTTCGACTTACCTGAGACAGCAGCGGGGTCTGTGAGTTCTGCGCGCGCCGATGGCGACGTCTTGATGGCCGGCTCTGTCGGCTGAACTCCGGCTCCCAGCAGGATCTCGCCAGTCTCCGCAAAGTGTCGGTTTATCGCGATGGCAGCTGTAAAGAGAAGAACGTGTCTTAGACCTAAAGTCGCAAAACCTCGAACAGATCCAATACACATCAATCGCTTATGCCGTTCTTGTTGATCAGTATTATTGCGTAGCCACAAAACAAATGCATGCAAAGCTCATCTCAATTGTTTATGCCGTTCTTATAGACCAGTATTATTGTTTAGGCACAAAACAAATGCATGCAAAGCTCATCACAGAGTATGAACATGTATAATTATGCGTGTGAGGAAAATAGGAGCAGATGTAACCACCAGGACGGCTCGGCCGCCCGGCGCGGGTGTTCACCTTGCGACACGCCGTTGGGCAGCTGCTTGCCGCCGGTCTCGGCCCGGTCAGGTGTGGAGGTCAGCTCTGCAAGACCGCCACAGTCAGAACGGTGGCGGCGGACGGCGGGCCGCGCGGCCGCACCGGTCACGGACGGCGCGCGCCGGTCTGTGGCGCCGCCGGACGGCCTCTGAGCGGGCCGGCGCGGGGCCACAGACCGCGGAGCGCGCGCCCACAGACCGGGCGGCGGCGCACGGCCGACGCGGCGGCCGTCCTCCAGTGAGCGGGACGGCGCGCGCCGGCCGCCGCACACCGCCGCACGGGCACACCACACAGCTCCCTCGGGTGCGGCCCTCCTCAGTCACACTCGCGGCACTCAGACGCCCACTCAGACAGAGGCGCGCGCCTCCCTCCCGGCCCGCCCCGATCGGCCCAAACTCGGCGCTCTATGGCCTCCCGTCCCGCCCGCCCGTCCCACCCCCCGGGCGCGCGCCTCCTCTCACAGACGGCAGCTCTCGGACCAGGTTGGCAGGCACGCAGGGCGGGTCCACTAGCGCGCGCGACAGCCACTCTCCGGCCGCTCGACAGGGGCTCGCCGCGGCTGGGCGCTGGCGCCGACCGAGGCCAGGCGCGCCGGTCCGCGCCCCGTCCGGCCGGTCGGCCGCTGACGGCGGCGCCGGCTCGCACTGAGGGCGCGGAGCGGGACGCGGCCGGCGGAGTCGGCGTCGGCCGGCGCCGGGAGCGAAGCGCGGCGCGCGGCGCCGGGCGCTGGTCAGCCCGGCGGCGGGCGCCTCCAGCCATTCTGCGGACCGAGAAGGGCGAGCCCCTGCCGGGCGCGGCTTTCACACAGCCAGTCACACCGCGGCGCTCACATTCCGTGCACAGGAGAGCCGCACCCCGGGCGGGGCGCGACCCGGCAAAGGGCGCGGGCCGGCCCCGAAACAACACTCTACACATGTACACAACAGCAAAACGGCATAGCATACACAGCGGGAGCATAGAAAACAACAAAACTCTCCGGTCTCGGCAAACAATCGAAGAGCAAACTAGTACATGTTGCCTCCGACAAAGTCAATCTGGCTGGCGGAGAATCTGTTAGCACAACTTTGTACAGAACTCAGTACTCGACTCAGCCCGGCGGGCGACACGCCAGGCTTGTTACGTTGAACTCTGGGCAGGTACGTTAGTGGCGCCGCGCGGAGGCGGCCGCGGCAGCTACGTTACAGAGCGACTGTGTCGGCAGTGCTGGACTGCGGCAGCTACGTTACGGGTGGTGTGGGGAGGCATCTGGACGGCGTGTCAGGCCAGGTCCGCCGGCCAGTCCGCCGAGCCGACCTCGGCGCCGCCGGCAGCCGCCGCGGTCACCGAGGCCGGCCGAGCAGCCCGACGGGGCGCGGCAGGAGCTGCAACAGGCGGATCAGGGACGCGGTGAGAGGCTGGTTCACCACACGGAGGCTCGGCCGCCGGGACAGCGGGCGCGAGCCGGAGAGGCCGCGCTGAGGGGCGCCAGGCGACTCTGGACGGCGTGACGCAGGATCAAGAGGCAGGACGGAGGGTAGACTGAAGCTGAGTCTGAGGAACAGGGGACACAGCGGCCGTCGGAGAAGAGAGGGACTGTGGACATTTGGTACGCGGCGGGGTTGCGGACACACGGAGGGATTGCGGACACGGGGATAGCGGCGGGACTATATGTAGTCTGCGGACACAAGGAGCGGTGGGGTTGCGATCTGCGGACACAGGAAGCAGCGGGGCTGTCGGGACTGCGGAAGCACACGGAGGGCGGCCCCTCAGCCGGCGCGGACGGGGAGCGGCGGTCAGTCAGGAGCGGAGCGGCGGGCTCGGGACGGACCAGTGAGGAGGGCGGACGGCCGGCGGCTCTGACCTGGGCACACCGGCCGACCGACACTGGACCTGATCCGCGCTGGAGGTCGGCCGCCGCGCCGACGGCCCGCGCCGAGGGAGGCCCGCCTGGGGCGCTGAGGACAGACAGAGACGTGAACGGGACACCCGGCCCGGCCCGGCCCGGCCCTGCCCGGACCACAGACAGCCGCTACAGGAGCGGTGTCGGCAGGTCCACTCCCAAGCTTCAACCAGTCTCCTCCCGACCGTGTCATCTGCCAAACTGTACTGACCAGAATTCATCTACCTTGGAAGGATTTTGCTCGTTCTGTTCAACTTTTGGATAAACTAGCAAGTAAACCAATTTTTGGGGTGAAATATTCGCAAACTTTGCCCTCACTTTTTCCAATTCCCTTTCAATTTCCACCCCACCGTATTCGCCCAATTTCACGTTGGATGCTCCCGATTCTGGATATATCAACTCGAAGTTTTCAAATGACCTAAAGTTCAATTGAAATTTACTTAACGCTCAAACTTTCCCGGTTTGGGAAATATTCACTTTTTATTTCAGTCTCCCTCTTCCCGAGGAATGTGTCCAATATGACTGAACAATATGGAACTCAGACTAAAGCTGTTACTCATTAACCCCCTTACTCTCTTTGCCAAAGATCTGCCGTCCTTCACCCCTAGATCCCGACACCAAACCTGTCCGTCTATTTACAGTCCGTCAAAGCCAGCTACGCAAAAGCGGAGATAGATAGTCGAAGTGGCATTGGAGAATGCAGAAGCTCCGCCACCAAACCCACCACCTCTACCAGCTAGCTACTGGGCGGACGGCCACTGGCCGCCGACATACGTCCGGTTAGCGCCCTAGAGTAGGACGCCCGCCCGGGTCTCTACCGTCAGGTGGGGGACTCGGTCTGGTCTGGGTAGCCATCAGCGGCTGCTGGGCACGGCCTGAGCGACCCGACCGGCGCTGAGGGGAGGCAGATTGGTCAGCTGGTGAACCAACAGAAGGCGCGGTCTGAGGGACCCTGCTCCGACCCACCACCGCCCGTACTGTCTCCCTCCCTGTCCGACCACCGCCCCCGCCCGCCCCCTGACTCCCACCCAGTCACCGCCCGCGCTGACCCAACCTAAACCGCATCTCCACAGACCCAGTCAACCGTGCGAGCTGCCAGCAACTCTACCCGATCCCTTAATTCCAAGCCTCGGTCCTTTAGCTTCCTCAGATCCCAACTTTGCCAGACCCCAGCCGATCATCCACCGACCCCTTACACCTCGGCTCAATTTTGAAACCCACATACCCCGGCTCTAGTATGACCGCCAAAACGACCAGATTCCGTCAGTTTCCAACTGTCCGAACGCGAGGAAACACCCGCTATTCTTTTAACAGGTTTAACGCCTTTGATGCTAGCTCGCGGAAGTGATCACGGATCACTCTAACGTCCCTTTTTGCTATCCCGACGTCCTTCCCTCTACTACCTCACATCTCCCCACTCGGGACTACCAGTGTTTCGCATCCCGGATGTCTGTTATTTTCAGACTAGAACCCTCTGCCATTCTTCAACCAAGATGGTTCTTATGGAATGTTCATTTCATCGCACTTAGCAAATCAGCACACGAGTGCTCAACTACGCTTTTCATTGCCAAATATTTCGCTTTTATATCGGAAGACGAAATGATTTAAACATTCCGGAAGACTTTGCATCTTGCGAGAACCTTACACGTCATAAGCGGGTACAGCCTAGCGCGAATTTCGATTTAGCCTAACTTAAATAAGCCCAGACACAACCTAGCCTGATTTTCTGAGGTCGTTTTACTGACTCATCTTCAACATCTTTTAAGATCATCCACAATCCCAAACAGCCCGCAGCCTAAAAACAAGCATTTAATTTTTCTTATCCCAACAAATAAAAAATGACAAAACACAACCCTAATTTAAACTCTCCAGAAACATGGAACTCCCAAGCTTAACTTTTCCCTTTCCAGTAAATGAAAGCTAGCCTAAGTAGCAGTGAGCTAGTCAATTCCCCACCGCTGTGTTTAACTCTGGGCTTACTGGGGCACGTTACGCCGCCTCTCGGCTAACCGTGGCCAATGGGCCCGCTAACGCCTCCCTTCTCTCGCGCGCTCTCTCTTCTCGCGATCGCCTGCAAAGAGAGCATAGTGAGCCAACACAGCCGGCGTCGACACAGCGCCGCCCTGACCCCATGCTGGCTGGCGTGCTGCTCCCGCCCCGCCCCGCCCCGCCGCCCGTCCCACCCGCCCCACCCACCCACTCCCGCATGCACGGTTAGTAGCGTCCGGGGCCGCGGCTGGTCTCCGGTGACTGGGGGCGGTGTCAGGGGCGGGGGCGGGGCGCGGGCGGTCGCGCGGCCGCGGCGGCCGGGCCGCAGCGGCGCGCCGCTCGGCGGCTACTGTCCGCCGCCAGCCTGCCGGAGGGGCGGCCGGGCGCGAGCAGCCGCCGCCGGCGCCGGCGCGCCGCTGCCGCCCGCCCGCCGCCGCCGCCACACTCACGGTACACTCGTTCACACGCACACTCACACTGGCTGGGTGGCCGGCGCGCGGGGGAGGGAGAGTGTGAATGCCGACCTCCGGGGCGGGACGGGCCGGGTTGTGCGGCTGTCCTAGTTCAGTGCTGCCAAACCTGCTCTGACGCACCGACGGGCGGCGGCGCGCTGGCCGCCGCCGCTGCTCTGAGCTCAACGTCGCACCAGACAGCCGCACGGCACGTCCATTGCCTTAGGTCGCCGCCGAGCCGCCAGCTCGGCCTCTGTCTCTCTGCAAACTGCCTCCTCTCTGCCTCTGCCTCTGTCTGTCTCGCTCATCTGCTAGCCTCCATCCATCTGTACTCTCGCCTGCCTGAGTACGCGAGCGATGGCACGGCACCGGGCGCGGCGAGCGCGCGCCGGCGCCGCGTTACGTTACGTTACGCTGCCCATGACGTGCGTTACGTTATAGACCCTCGGCACTGGACGGCACGACCCAGCCGCGGGGGGAGAGGAGGCCGGGCGGACGGGCGCGCCACTCACCGGAACTGTCTGCCACCGAGCCGGCTGCCGAGCAGACGCCAGAGGAGCCGGCCGCGCTGGCGGCGGTGTACCAGAACGGCACACCGTCCGACTCGCGGTCACCGGAGCGGACTGTCAGAGAGATGGCGCGCGGCGCAGAGGGTCGGCTGTCCCAGTAGGCGGGCACCTCGCATACCAGATGAACCTGCAGGAGAAGGGGAGGGAGTCAGGGATGGGCGAAAAAAAAAACAGCCAAGCTCACATAAAGTTCGTCAGCTGACCCTCTGTGCTGAAAATAATCCAAGGCGGAATTTGCCGAGGACATTACACCATTTTCGCCCTTCCGCCCCTTCTCGTATCATTGTCTCTGTTCCCCTTATATTCCTCTTTCCTTGCCTCCTTCCCCCGTCTACTCACCGCCTGCAAGTGGTCCTTGTGCGGCGTGACCGTCTGGTGCCAGACAGTGGCGCCGCTGTCGGACGTCTCTGTAAACACCACGCGCGAGTCCTTGACGAAGTTCTTTCCGAGCACGATCAGCTCCTGGCCGCCGACCGGGGAGGCCTCGGTGATGGAGAGCTTGGTGACCTCGGGAACACCCTGTGGCTGAGCTGAGGGAGGAAGGGGGGAAGGGGTCAGACGCCTGTAGAGGGCTAGAGGTCAGCAAATTAACGACAGCTGACACCGTACCTAGCTGGAAGGTAGCAGTCTCCAATAAATGGATAATACTGCGAAACGATCAGGCGCCCTCCAAAATAAAAGTTAAGCAGTCCATTCACGTCAGGTTCACCAAACGTAAGATCATGACCGTTTTAGGCTCACCCCACCGCCCCGAATCCACCCAGCCATACACCCGCCTGCCCAGACCCGGCACTCACTGCAGACGATGGACCGGGAGGCGATCTGTAGCGTCTCGACGCGTCCGTGTCCATTCAGCACCGTCACCCGGAACACGAGCCTGCAGCTAGTGGTTCGCGCTCCCTTCCTGACCGTCGGCCGCCGACCGCCGGCGGCCACCGCGCTCGCCGCCGCCGCGCCGCCGGCCGCCGCCACCCGCGACTCGATGTCGACGTTACGCTGCTTCAGGATACCCAGGCAGTCACAGCTGAGGGGGAGAAGGGAAGGACGTCAGATAGTAACACGGCAATGGGAGGACACATGGCAGAATGAAACAGGGCACATGGCTAGCTTCAGGTTTTGAAGCCAGCATCCTATGAACGAGCTTTTACTAGAGAAGCGGAGAATAAAAGCACCGGCATGCGATTTACGTGGGCATGAAACTTATCATTCTCGTTTCTATACAGTGTTAAAAAAGTTTACATCTATACAGCTGCCAAACTTCACGCACATTTACACTGAAAGTTCATAACAAGTATCATTATTTACTATTTATCAATCTCTAGCCCCGGATATTCCAGCTCAGCCCTCTCTGACCTCCCACCTCCCGTTCTCCCTAATCCTCTGACCCTGTTTCTCACCGGGCGCTGACGCTGTCGCCTCCCTTGTCTGGCGTCATGGTGGTCTGGATCACCACGGTGCCACTGAGGTTCAGCTCGTCGCTGGGACTGGCCGTTTTACCGGTGACCCGACACGACTGGTAGAAGAGGTGCGGACTGCAGCCGTCGGCGTCCGAGCCCACGTACATCTGCAGCGCCACCGGCTGAGTGTAGCCGTGCAACTGTCGGAAGGAGACAGACAGACAGCGTCAAATGAGGCCAGAAACGAGTTACACAAGAGAGCAGATATGAGGACACGCTCACATAAGAGGACGGGCATGGGTCAGACATGGGTTAGAGAAGACATGATTAGACAATTGAAGGCAAGGCGAGAGATATAGGCAGATAGACACAAGACCACTCACTGCAGCTTCATTCCTTCATGCTACGGATGCTGCCCTTGTGGTGAGCACGGCAGAAGATAAGGCTCAGGCGTGGTTCAAACATGGGTCCGATATAGGGGTAGACGCGTAGTTTAACACGGCGCAAAAGCGGTATCAGAGGCGAGCACGGCGCAGAGATAGCACGAACTGTGACGCATCAAACTCAGGTCAGAGGTGACGGGTCAGGAAGTGTAAGATCAAACGGCCGCATGATCTCTGAGGTCTAAATGTTGCAACACGTTCATGATCCATTACATGATCAAAGGATTTTGAGAACGCCCACTCAGTTAGCTGACGGATACCACAGCGCTTTGGTGTACCTGACAGGTCAAAGGTTAACAGCGCAAGTGTTTGGGTCAAAGGGGTGAATGGAGAATACCAACTCTATCTAGAGAGATCTATCAATCCTCAACAACTATGCTTGGACACTTATCCATTGTAGTATCTGCATTCAAACGCTTAGCATAATGAACAATAAACATCATCAGCATCATATCACTTAAAAAAAGTTCGCCTGACAGAACACAGCCTCTGCGAATGTGACCAAGTGTGCCATGATTGAGGCCCGGTAAGGTCACAAGTGGCTGTCGTCAGAAAGAGAAAGGCAAAAAATCCACTCAGTCCATAATGTCTCCCATTACTGTGATCTGCATGGCGACATGATCACAATGTGCCTGAAGGTCGGCATGGCCGCGATATGTGGCACCGGTGCCAGCGTCAGATTAGGGTCCCACCCTACCACTGACACGGGGAGAACACATTCCACGAACACCCTCCTCCCGGTGTCACGACCCGTGGGCAATCGGTCGTGACGGTGATATCACGGTCACCACAGCGCCGAATCGTACTATGACAGGGAATGTGAGCATCTGGCTTCTGGAAACGTCAAACTCCAAGACAACCGTTACACACCGCCAAATACAAGAGATCTGCCCGATTGTTCAGCTACAGGCAGCCGAGCGCCTGCTGGCCAAGCAGCATTTTTTCTTAGAGTAAGCCGGCAACCTTTTGCCTCACTCATGACTCAACAGGGTGATGTTCAGAACCGCTGCTGTGATTGTGAAGCCCACTCGAGAGCAGTTACGGCATTTGACGGCGGGGGCGATTCAGATGTAAATTTATGAAGGTGACAATTCGCCGGTCGGTCTGTGCCGATACTGGGGCCATTGCACACCGGCCTTCAGGCAAAAGAAGATCGTGACCAGCGAATGAAATCAGCTCAGTATGCAACACAACGAGGCCATTTGCAAGACATTTGCAAAAATGTCCACAAGGCAGCCGGCAGCCGTAACGTATGCATAATGCTGAATCTACCACCTACATACAAGTCTCCCCCACCACACAGATATGGATACCCAAGACTAAAAGTGGCCGGCTAAAATTCCATCCAATATAGGTGATAAGTGATCACCTTAACTTCCGCCGCATTTAGAACAGGACCCCTAAACTAGTCTGAACTGACTAGGGTTGGCCCGCGTGCCGGGGGTCACCGTCTGTGACACGGTGCGGTCGACGCGACCCACCAGTGACACTTGGTGGTCTGCCATGGCAGTGCCAGCACCTCAGGATGACGGTCAGAGCCACCTCTGCGGCCGCCGCGGTCAGTCTACGTGACCCGACCTGCCACCTGTCACACCTGACACCCAGCGGTCAGCTATGCTGTCTCAGTGACAGTCGGCGCTGCCTCAGCGGCCAAGGGTACCGATGGATTACGTGACCTGACCCGTGACCAATCACAATAGACATCTGGCGGTCTCATTGTGGTAGGGAGGAACTGACGGGGTGACCACAAAGCCAGCAGGTCAGACCGGGGCAGTATAGTGCAGCCTTTGTCCTTACCAGATCGAATGGACGATCGGACCTAGAGAGCTCACCAAGACCTAAATCACAACAGGTGTCTGAGATAGCCCAGAGACGAAGCCATGGGGCACTAGTGAAGTAATTCTGCTCGTATATCTGTAGCTGATTGCGGGAAGAGCACTTACCACGACCTGCGGCGAAGTTTTGCCGGTGGAGTCTTTGACGGCTCCGCGGCTGCCCTCGGTCTGGTAGCGGGCCCGGTGACGCGTCTCCGGCTCGCGGGCCAGCGACAGACGGTACCTGCCGGGCGGAGAGCGGTCGGTTATAGGGGGTCATCGGGGGTCACACAGGGTCATAATGGGGTCACACAGGGTTAGAGAGGACAAGAAAAGGTCAGGTTACTGGGATGAGCACAGGGATGATAATGAAGCACAAGGACGGGAAAATACCCACATGAGATGACAAATTCACCGGTGATCACAGAAATCCAGCACCGTTAAAAGACCGAGACATGGTACACCTGCGTACAGAAAGGAAAGCACCGTTCCAATCCACTCCACACAAGGTCTCGTCCAAGGCCAGATTTAAGATTATACAATACATGACGCAAAGTCGCGCCTGATCTTGATTGTGTGCGAAATCAGGTGCACAATAGCCGAGCTGCGGCGGCGTGAAGAAAGGTCGCGCAGGGCTGACATTCTCCCGGCTTCCTCAAAACTGTCTCCCACGGACAGGGTGGGTCCGGTGTCCCTGCCCTGTCCGCGTGGCGCCCCCACGGAGCAGGGGGTCCGGTGCAGATGCCCCGTGCACGTGGCACCCACGGGCCGGGCCGGTGGCCACCGCCGGCGACATGGGACGCCTGAGATACAGCCCAGCTGATACCGACACAAACCGCCCCGTCATCTCTGTAGGACGGGAACAAATGGCAAAACTAGCCACCCACACACAGCAACAGAGGCACTCCGAGCACCAGATATCTGGGTCAGACGATGTGACAGGACCCATACAACGGCGCTACGTATAAATACAATCCATACATAGTCTGGTATGGATGACCTCGGCATCCTAAACTGGTCATACCTCCCGCCTTATCCGTTTTTTCACCGCCCGTCCGTCCGTCCGTCGGTCCATCCGCCCGACCCCACGAGTGCGGGTGTCCGCGCGGTACCGATAGCACCGTTCAGTGTCCGTCCTCACGGTGGGTGAACTTTGGTCGCCGGTGGCGTGGCCCGGGCCAGTGTGCGGTGACGCATCTGGCTCGGCAACAGGGAGCGCCGGCCCCACCCACCGAGCCGGCCGGGGGTGCAGTGCAGGTGTCTCCGGACTGAGGGGAGGGGGGAGGTCCCACCCCGGCCAGAGGAATGAAAAGGCCGATGGACGGCAGTTGATAGACAGCGGGGCATGGCGGGATAGGAGCAACGAGAAAACAGTGAACTCAGGATCATGAATGTGAATGAACTCATAGCGGAGAAGACAATGTAGCATGGCACCTGTTAGATGAGGTGAGGTGCACTGATAAAATCATATTTATACGGAAGTTGGCTTTCTCAGTCATTGCAATGCTCACAGAACAGCGAACATATTGGGCGCCTAGAAAATTGTGCTATTTTAAATTCAATTTCTGATGAAACGGATGTTATACTTGCTATGAAATTGAAAATTCCTCCAAACAGACCGTGATTGACGGGAAGTATTTTAGGTGGACTGGGATGGCTATTTAGCCGCCAAGTAAAATATTGCACCAGGTCCGGCGCAATAAATCAACACGGACTGAAAATAGTGCTAACAGACCTCAGGTATTTCAGAAAGAACGCAGATCGGTTCGAATTAGTAAGAACATGACATGATCGGTTCAGCTGCCGGCGATTGTCGCTAGGACTAACAGCAGAGGAGTAACACACGACTCAACTATGCTAGTGCAGCTCAGCGACGGGTTACTACGTAAAACGGATGACCTCATGAGGTGGGCGTAGCTATATGTAAACCAGACAAGGCAAACAAACAAACTATGGACTAAAATGCTGGACAGCCTGTTGAGTGTTGGGTGAAAAACAGCCAGATCATTACGCGCATTATTTAGTTAAGCCTGAAAGACTCTTTCCACAATCCACAGTCAGGAAATCGCATGCGAATAGGGTCGTTGACACAGCTAAAGTTCTTTGGACCATAACGCGAGGGACGTAACGTGTGGTGAATCAGAAACATAAACTATTGCTTTGGGGTATGGCTAGCGTGTCCTTATTTCGGCTACCCAGCGCTAATCATTATCAAGCTGAGCATCTAATCACAGACGGCGCGGTATTTGCCTGTTTGTGTAATAGCTTCTAGCGTGACCTCGCCTGCTCAGTGCCTATCCACCTAACGGTAAGCTGTCGACCTGTGGGTCTCTCCATCTCTTCAACGCTGCAATTCACACATCTATTATGTCATGTCGACTACTACCAAAGGTCACTCAGTCCTGTCATTCAGACCTGTCACCAAGCCCTGTCACCGCTGAGTGCCTGTCAGCGAGTCCGTCACTCCCGGCGCTGAGAGCACTCAGCGAGTGACGCAGACTGCACCCAGAGGGAACTCCAACCACGGCCTCCGTCCGGCGAACACTCCGCTCCGGTAAATAGCAATCAAACTAATCAGACGAGAGGCAAACAGCCTGGTGGTCCGCCCCCTGCCAGGCTGCAGCAGGGCCGGGGGAGCGGCGCCGGCCCCCGCGGGACCCCGCAAAGGCGGCCGACGGTCTGCAAAGTCCGGCGCCCCTAGGGGCCATAGTCCATAGTCCATACTACGGGAATGGTCCTGGGGTAGGAGACATTTGACAACGGATCTTTCTCTTCCGTTGATCTATCCAGGGCAGCAAAAGTAACTGATGCCGATTTAAAGGCTTCAGTTGTAAGGGCAGGCAATTCATGATTATTGGCTTCTTTCAATGTTTCTGTGTTCTCAAGCGACAATTAAGCGGTAAAATATTGTCGGTAAAGTATTGTAGTTAATAATATGACGTCATACTTTTAGTAGCATTTATGTTCCTTTTGATAGCATGCAAAATACTATTTTCGATGAAGTATATTTCCAAAAGAAATTCTGTCCGTTAGTACCAAAATATAGGTACCATTGTTTGTTTATTGGGGCTTCAGGGTGCGCCGAATACAGATGTAATGTTGCACCCACCCCCAAAATACGAGTATACAGCTATAGCTACAAGGTAAAAAATGCATTATTGAGTTAATCACTACCCTGTTCCATTCACCCACGCAGTAGGCCGAGTCCAGCGTCATACTACGGGGAAATCAGCACCCGGAAGGAGCCGACTCCCTCCGGAAGAGGTTCCCTCCGGCTGTGCGCCGCTCCGGCCGATCGATAGCACCTCGCACCGTCAGCCGAGCGGCCGAGCGCCACCGGCAGTCGCAACGGCCACCGACGAGGTCACATCGGACACCGGCCGTCGACACCGACAGAACAGCGACGACGATAAGGACAGACCGGCAGCGACAACATCAACGGACCAGCAGCGTCGAAAACGACGAACCAGCCTACCGTTTGTGTGAACCAGCCTACTCAGCAGGGGCCAGGGGCGAAAACAACTGAGCGATCGACGGACCGCGACGGTAACACCCAGGGCTTCAACATCGTCAGGTGCCGTTCTGACATAGGTGGTGGGTGGGAATATGACGAGGGAAGATTATATCCCTCCTGCATTAATTGCCATTAAAATGGATATTAGGTGGATCTCAAACACGACTAGCGTGCGTCGCTAGAGGTCCCTAATGGCCTACCGTCGTGCGTCACGACAAACACTGCTTCATTAGTGCGGCACAACCGTCTAAAGCTCCGAAAGACCCGTCTACTGCGCTGCGACTGTAACGTCGGCCAACAGCCTGTGCATTTTCGGAGACCACCGTGGACACGCCGGTCTGCAGCTGCCGCGCCCAGAACCGATCCCAATCAGCTTATGGAAAAGGCCAAGACGTTGTAAAGGGAGCGAAAGCAGTGATGGCCGCACCCTGATACGGGTGAACGAAGCCGGCGCGACCGGTATGACATTTCCTAGGGAATGAACGAAAGTCCGTAACAGAGAACTAGAAGGTCTAGACTCTAAAAGCCCTCCCCATGACAGACGAGGCTCATGACTGGAAAGCTGGCCAGAGAACTCCTCGCATTAGTGTCGGCCGAGCACCCAGCCAATATTGCACCTGTTCTGTTCTCAGCAGCGCTAACAGGATCAATGCGGCTGCCAATACACAGACTATATGGAGCGACACGAAGAGGGCAGAAGCGCGAGGTCAATACCAAGGAAGAGTCGACGGGGCCGAAAAGTACAGCCGAGATGACAAGATGCTTCATTTTAGCAGCTAAATTTACAAAGAAGAGCTTCTTGGCGCACGTCTAAGTCATTATATCTTGTGAGAGGATTCAACTCTAGTTATACAAACAACACCTGAGTTCAGCGAATAACGCACAGTTCTGCGATTTCTTGCTCGTATTTGCACAGAAGTCTTTGGCTTGAATATTGACATAGTTTGGGGTTGACACGACTGGGTTGAGTCATCGCTGAGAACCAATCAATCGTGCGGCTTTACGCCACTAGAGCAGCACTTATTCCTCAGGTGACAGGGAGCCGCAGCGCGGACAGCGACGGAAAAATGAAGGCATACCTCATAAGCCGAGAATGCATACATGCTGCAGCCGTAATTCCTTTGGGCTCTTTCTGTTCTCTTCGACAATTATCCAGTTGGAGCAGCCTGTTCATGTTCATTCTCTTCAAGAAATCTTGCCTCCTGCATTCCGAAATTCATCTACTTCCAACTATCTTCCCTACCACACCTCCAGCTCCCTTTTGTCACCAGCGATATTTGCACCTCCCCGTGTCTCCGTGTGATCGCCCCGCCGTGCCTCCCGTGACCCATATCGCGTGACCGGCCAGCCGAGGTTGACACCGCGGGGACACGGGCCACCCAAACACACAGTACACCAATCATCTCAGCTGAGGTCGGAGATGGCCGGTGGCGTGGCCGGCGGCGTGGCCGGCGGCTGCAGCCCGGTCCCTACCGGGTCGGTCAGAGCAGGGTGAGGCGAACCAGGAGCCGGCTGCCCACCGCGGCGGTACACCCCGCTCTGCACGGCGTGCCACGCTCACTGCACGCCGACCTTCGCCGTTCTCAGGGGCGCCGGTGCACGTATAAAGCCGGAGGTGGCCGGCGAGTGGCACCAATCGGCTCTCCAGCTCCCTCCCGGCGGACCCGCGGCAGTCACAGCGGCACACCACAACAGCAGACATGAAGGTGAGAAGAGCGACTACGGAGTTCTGAGCATCATTATCCGCAAACTCATAATGGTCACTGAAACATTAACTTACCATTACTTCGGTATACCAGAATAGGTAAGCTAGCTTACATTGCTTTAAAGGGAATTTCGAAAAGAACGTTGGCTCTAGGACAACAATTGTCATAAATAATAAAATATGTTATGGATAATGCTCGATCTAGAGCGGCAAGGTCCAGATAATCAGTATTCAGTAATCCACCTGTTTGATTTTAAAATATTTACTTTACTATGTAAAAAACATTTTGTTGGAAAGAATGCCAAAACAATCATCACAGGCAGAATTTGCATATCGCAGTTGGCCAAAACATTCTTCAGAAAAAAGTTCAAACCTTTAACACTCACAGGACCACTTTCGTCTCACGTTGCGCTCCCCTTTCCTGCCACTACTGACCTAATCTCTCCGTCATTCGCATGTTTCAGGTCGTCATCCTCGCAGCTCTGATCGCCGCGGCCGCCGCTAGCGGCTACGGCGGCCAGGGTTCGGCCGGCTACGGCTCGGGCGGCTACAACACACCGACGGCGTACCAGTTTGACTACTCCGTCAACGACCCGCACTACGGGCCACAGTTCTCCCGCAGCGAGAGCAACGACGGCCGCACCGCGCGCGGCTCGTACAGCGTGGCGCTGCCCGACGGGCGCGTCCAGCACGTGCGCTACTACGCTGATCAGGAGGGCTACGGCGGCTTCAACGCCGAGGTCACCTACACCGGCAACTACGGCACGCAGAGCGGGTACGGCGCGCAGGGCGGGCAGTCCTACCATTGAACGAGACAACCCGGGAGGACAGACAACAGACCGAGACTGCCCTGATGCAAACAAATGAGTCTCACAGCCAAAGACTGCCACGATCCAGACAGAAGGAGCTCGCAAGCATTAAGACTGCCTGTTCCGGGAACATATCTCGAACAGCCAAGACTACTTGCTGCTGGAGGAAAATTCGACATAGCCAACGTCTGCCACTCCTACCCGACTTGACCTGACCTACGATATCTGGCTGAATGCCCTTAAAACTCCGAGACAGCCGTCCTACCACACCAAAATCCGTCCTTCCCAACCAAAGCGAGAGATACCGGTGTACACATTGTCTATTTATGGGAGAGTGAATACACATACCACCGAAGGGACCGCTGGTGTTGCCGGGAAGAGACAGGTGCGCTACGGTGGACACGATGTGGACATGATAAGAACAAGGGCGTGACCGACAGGAAACCGATGGTCTACAAGGACTGACACACAGGCGCACACAGGCGGTTGGCAACAGTCCGCGCCGTTATATAACGATAAAAACGCTAATGGACAGATGCTCTAGCACAGCGTCTGTCCAGACAGCAACAGCATCCACATAAATACGTCAGCGACAGAACAACTGGACGCTACATCCTGCGCAGTGGAATTAACGATTAGTAACGAAATTATGAAACTAAACACACCATAGGCCCGAGAAATGACGCACTTCAGCTCATGTTTCAAATGAAGATGAATAAAAAAGATGTTATATTTTACGGAGGGGTAAATCCACACTAATGGTGTTATTTATGAAGGTAATGCCACCAGCACCAACTTACTTGCCACACTTGGAGACGGGGTTGACGCCCTTGAGAAAACCTGCCGGGGGCTGAGCGGCCGACCTGCAGAACAGAAGGGGAATACGTCAAACAGGGTCACATTCACACCAAAGGTCACAGGTCATAGCCTGCCAAATCACACCTCATCCAGCGGAACAGCGCCCACGGTCACTCCGAGTTACGTAATTGACAAATGGTCACAATATTTCCTCCATCTGACTCCTGCGACTGCAATATTGGCGGTTTTAGTAACGTTTATCTGCAGCTGAGCCGCGGTTCACACAAAATACCAGTCCAAGTCGCAGAGCGCGGGACAGGGGGTTTATCGATCAACACAAGACGGAACTCACTTTCACCGTACTTCTGAAAATGTCACCAGATGTAGGATTTGCTTAATACCACAGAGCAACGCCCACAAAAACAATTCCATTGTAATAACGGATTTTGACGATAATAACTAAATGTCAGGTAATCAATCATATCAGAGACCGGTCATATCATAGACCTGTGATCATATCAATCGATCCCGTATCCGGCTGAACTTCACATAGAATAGCTAAATTTGGTGGGTCTGACTACAGATCAATGTCCCCGCTGTTACCCGGCCGGGCCTCTCGCGATTTCTGGCACCACTCTGCTAAGGTCACCCTCAGACCTTTCTCACGTGGCCCGCGTAGTGTCCCGCCCAGACCGTGCCAAATCGGAGGTATTTCGCCGGGGGGGGGGGGATACAGGCGCTGACGTCACAAGTTGGCAGCGCTGGTAAATGAGTGACCATATCGGCCACGACTGCTGCCGTCAGCAACACTAGGATGATATATGAAGGTGGACAAAAGGGCCGTGGGGACGGTGCATTCAAAGGAGATGGATATGGCGTATCAGAGTGCTGACTGGTAGATTGCTAACGGTAACGACATCACACGAATCTTGCCATGAAAATAATGAATGATAGCAAATACGCAGTTTGTCTCGTGATACATTTCAAACCAAACCAGAAAATGTCAGCTTTCAATGATTACGTCAATGACTGAAGCAAATAACATAGATTCAAATACATTGATAAATGATATTGACACGTTTCAACATCGTAGTACCGAAAGTGAAACACGAACGATTGAATTCGACCATCAATATCGCCCATGACATCATAAATGTATGACTTTCCACATCCAAGTGATGCTAAATGGACTTGTGTAACTAAATGTGGAAACGGCGTAAAAGCATAATTGCTGTAAGCTGCATCCGCTCGATATCCGGACTCAGGGGTCACGCCACAAAGGTCAGAACGATATCCAAAATAGTCCACTAAGTCCGAACCGTTATTGCAATTACCGGACCTGTATCGCGTTGAAACATACAATTAGTCATGATGTACGGTGAATTAGATGATGCACCAGAGCGATTATGCAGATTACATTATGTACTTTGCAGAGCGATGACCCAGGGAAGGGCAGTGTGTCCAAAATTGTAATGTTGCGGGGAAATCCACCCATAATGAGAAGTATAATGACATCCTAAAAATATGAATAAAACATCCTCATGGCATTCACAACTTATAATAACAGCCTCGAACACAAACATCTAGGAGCAAGAGAAACACAAACCTCGCAAACTCTCACAACACGCCAAGACAGCCATTTGAACAACCAAAATGTTCAATTATATGACCCAAGGCCATATATAGGTAGCGACACTGAGCGATTTGTTTACAGCCAGTTTCGATCCCGATGACGCAAATGTGTCGTCACGAGGCAAAACAATATGGCCACCTCTAATGAGAACCAAGTGCAATAAGTTCCCGGATGTAGACAGCACTGACGTCACCGGGATCGAAACCAATGACATCAGTACTGAACCTATGGCGAAGCAAAGTAGTGACACCCCCCTATATGACCCGACTTAAAAACCTCATTTAACATCCCGAATATCAATATTTAGTATTTCTACCTCATTTTCTCGTGACATTTATTAAAACGGTGATTAAAAAGAGTCGAAGTCAAGTTTTATGAAAATAACGACATCCTTTCCGGCCTTTTTTTCTACATCCTCCCCCTAACGTAAAATGAATTTAGCCACACTGGGGAAGGGTCACATAATGAAATGAGAATAAGAATGAGAAACAAGAAATAGGAATCACGATGAAAAATTGAGTAGACCTAAATGCCATTTTTTTGAAAAAAAGTCGAAGTAAAAACATGCAATAAGCATACATTTAAATTTATATGGAAAACAGGGGAAATATCGTCGCTTCATGGAAATTCTCAAATCTGGATAGAAAACGACTGCAAAATTTACTGACGTATACCATATCCAACATTCAAAGCTACGATTGTCGCAAGCTCAAAACTTATGCGTTCGACAGAATTCATCCATGAAATAAATAAATAATCCACGATACCTTCTACCCATTGCGTTTCGCCGCCGATTCTCCCGATTCACTACCGCCGCCAGTCATTCCTAGAGTCTTGGCTGGCTGTCACTCGACAGAAACAATACACAGCCTGCCCTGTGCCACTCCTCGACCCGGCACCGTCCTCCGCCGCCGCGTCACAGCGTCAGTCGTTATGTCACTGTGATAAAACAGCCAGTCGTCGAGCCGGCAGCTCCTTGATGACGAGTGCAACAGACGGCAGGGGACGGACCGGGCCGGGCCGGCAGGGGGTCGGTTTGTCCCCACCATGCGCTGATAAACTGTATCGCCCCGCTATCAGATACATAGCAGCGTGTGATAGGACCGTGAGGTATTGAAGTTGGAGTTTGGACGCGGTATCAGTTCCTAGAGTGGTCAGATATTGCACGGCGCATAGTTGCAGTTCTCCGCCCGGGAGTTGCACAGCGCCGCCGCGCGATGGCGCTGCAGCCGCGGCTGCCGCTCGCTGCCGATAGATGCCACTAGCTGCACCTCAGTGTGAACCCGTTCCTGCCGCCCCGGAGGAGCCCCTGAGTGATGACCAACTTACGCTGAGCGAGCGTCCCGGACGAAGCACGAGTCTCTGGCGGCGGTATCCTCCCTCTTGGTTACCTTCCGTACCTGTGGAAGATAAAAAAGGTCAAGTCAAGGCATGTGAGGTCAAATCAGATGGCGTAAATCACATCGAAACAGATACGACACCACCCTGCCAAGACTCAGTTCTACGGACAAGCTCACACCTACAAACAGCAGGCCTCACCCATCCCGATCCCTCAAACATATTCGGAACACCGGCCAACCTTACACACCGACAGACCACTGTTTTAGACCGACGTACGACAGTGTGACATCACAGGGCGGTAACACAGACGAGACACCCGGCCACCGACCGGCGGGCCTCTGGCGCCCCTGTTGTCCTTGGCGGCCGTCCATTCCGACAGCGAGAGAGGGGAGCCACCGACAGCTGCACCTGAATTACTAACCGAAACCAACGGCCAAATTCGCCCTTGTATCTCCCGCGGCAGGAAAGGCCAGTTACTATTCACTACAAGAAGACCATCGCTTATGGGAAAGGAAACACAAAACAAGTGCCGATTACAAAAAAACGCCGACTGAAAACTCTGTGGGTGGTTCCAGCTCATTACAAATCACCATCCCATTCTTCAACTGTTTCCAGAAGCTCCAAAGTCCTCACAAAGTTCGCCATTGGCATGCCTGGAGGCGTATCCCCAACTAACGCCGAAGAAGGGCCACATCCAAACACCCCGAGAGTTGCTGACGTCAGTCCAACAGAGCCGAAATAGCGCCCGAAATGGAACACCTCTGACGTCAAGGGGCCAGTCGGGCCCCGAGGGTGAAACAGGGGATGGAGGGAAAGGGGACGAGAGAGGGGAGAGAGAGAGAGAGAGAGAGAGAGAGAGAGAGAGAGAGGAGAGAGAGGGAGAGAGAGAGGGAGATGTTTGGGAGGAGAGGGAAGGGAGGGATAAATTCCGATGGTGAGAGGAGGAAGGGAGAAAATCATTGGCTCCATTCTATGTTTCGCCATTCAAAAATGTGCACCTCAACGCGGGATGCTTACGAAGTCAATCTGGTGTTGCTCTTCACTTCTATGCATTCCCATGGAGGCGTCATCCGCATCAAGGTGCTATCGACTCGCAGTGCACACCTAATAATGTGCAAATTGTTGCCAAATGTATCTAAATCTAGCTTCATCAAGTATCCACAACATGAAGACAACTGTGGGATGAAAACATGTTTGTGTAGACATCCAAATGGCGAAACAAGAGAAACGTTATGAATAACTGAGTTTGATGTATGATGTTGCTCGGCCAAAGCACGGGACCAAAGTCTCTCCAAGCCGCGCAAAGGCAGCAAAGGTCACACCATGAGAGAACCAATATACAATATACATTGGCATTCTGCGCTCGGATGCGTGGGCCCGGCTCGCTTGCGGCACTGTTGCCGTAACTCAGGCAATGATAACAGATGGCAAACCTGTCCGCGTCCTACATACGACCGCATCCGGCCATGTCCGACAATGCGGCACTCGGTAAAATGAAATGCCGTTTGGCCGGTTTATAGTTGAGTTAAATAAATCCTGAGTCATGCTTTCGATAGGCGCATGCGTCACGCAAAACTGCGCTGCAGACAATGGGTTATATAATCATAATCCGGAGGAAAGATGGGATGTGGAGCATCAAAGCAGCACGGACTGCGGCCATTATCGCGCAGTCAGGCGTTAATGGCGCCAGCAATAACACCGCTGGCTTTGTCAGAAAAGCCGGGAGCAGCACTCCAGCGCAGGCGCCCTGCGATCACGTGTCAGCGAGTCGGACCGGATCGTCATGGCACGCGCTGGCGGACGCAGGAGCGCACCGACAACATTAAAACAATAGGCACGGGACCAGCCCCTTTTGACACTCCCAAGATTTCACCTATGCCAGTGCATGTAAAAAATGGTGAAAAAAATCACCGCTTTCACTTGCAGCTGTGCCCGAGTTCAAATACCGTTCCGGCGGCGGGGGTGGGGGTGCCAACAGATATTGATAGTGGCACATATGACACCGCCTCGGTGCGTGTCCCGGTAAAAGGGAGCCCTGTTAGCTCAGGTGGTCCCTCAGCCACACGGGCCGCGATCGTCAGCTGCCAGATCTGACCGTGATTGGACACAGCCATGGCGAGTAATGATCGGCTTACGGGGAACTGTCAGAACTGAACAGTCATCCCAGCACACCCATCCCACCGCTCACGCACTCCAACCCCGCCCACTGCCATCGGAACCTGTCCGCCGGCCGGCCGGCAGCCCAGACCTCTCCGCCCCGCCTGCGCCGAGCCCCCGACCACACCACCTGGTGACGTCACAGTGACGTCACCGGCCACCGGCGGCCGGTCGAGAAGCCGACCTCGTATCGACCCGACCGTCGGCCGCGTCCCAGCGCGCCGCCTACGCAGCCGCCGCCGCGGCCGACGTGGCCACGTCAGACACCGAATCGACGACAACAACGCCTACACCTCAACGTCGACGACGACACTAAGACGACCAAGTCGACGACGGCACTGACCTTACTAAGCACGATAGGTTGATCGGCTTTACCCCGCCCGCTGCTACGAAGCCCAGAAAGACTCTGATGTGCAGTGTGGATCTGTCAGATTTACGAGGTGAAGAGACGAAGGCCGGTAGTGCGCAGTAGTGCCGGTCGCCACAAACATTGGCCAGTCCCCGCGCGAAGGCCGGTTCTAAGCCAGCGAATCGAGCCGCGTCCGACGATAGTTGTGCTGGGGAGCGATAGAATGGCTGCTCCGCACCAGGGATGCACCCGGGAGAGAGGAGAGACGGACAACGGTGGGCGCCCCGCCCGCTCTGATCTTTACATCAGTGGGCGTCCGCCTGTTCAGTATTCACCATCCTGCTACACAGGCTGAAGACTTGTCCGGTTCATCCTGACGCTGGGGCTGCGCTCAGTTCTCGAAACTCTCAGTACTACAGCTTTAATGCCCTGTGGTACTTTGAGGCAGCATCCCCTGAGTCAGAACTCAAAGGATACAAGCCGGCACACACCAGTTTCTCGCCGACTAAGCGTGTGTACAGACAACAGACAACCCCTAGATGACATGTAGATGCAGATGACAGACAACCCCTCCAGCCGGTGGCGACATCAGACTCGATGGCCGGTCCGTGACCACTACTCTCGCACCCTGCGCCGAAAAACAAGGGCGACGGGGCACCGAACGGACAGCTATTGTATTGTATTGTATTTACGATCGTGGGCGATCCACACATGGCGTGGCGATTACTGCCCAGATGTAACACAGGGAGCTAAATGCAACAACCTAGTCACTGGATCGGTGGATAGCCGCCACTGGTCGGAGCAGGGCACACGGACACGCTGATGGGAGGCACCAGGCGCACAGCACTGAATAGGTATTATTTATTGGGAGCACCGACAGCGGTGGCGTTTTTAGAGATCAGCCAAATATGCTGACTCAGTGGGCGGATGGCCGGATTCAGTGCGCGGCTCGGATACGAGCTAACAAACTGTCAGAGGCCACAGAAGGTCGGCCGAGTCGCCCACCACCCAAGGACACTATCGGGCAGATACGGCGTCGGGTGGAGACACTTTCAGGGGGTGTGACCATGCTGATTGACCACAGCACAGGGAACCGCTACCAATTTAATTCAAGCTCCTAATAGATCCCAATTATCTAAATTAGCGTCATTGTATTTGCACACCTCGCCTGTCGTCTTCCTTCAGCTGCCCTCCTCGACCTCCCACTACCCTTTCCAGCCCACTCCACACTCTCTGTCCCCGTATCCAGGCCCCTGAGCGCCCCTGCGGGTCGGCCGTTTCGCCACCCGTCGCGGACGGGCCGGCAGCCAGCACACACCGCGCGGCCGACCGGCGCGGCGGCAGCTGCGGAGCGCGCCTGGCGCCGTCCGCTCCTCACAAACACAGCGAGCCCGGAGCCGGCCAGGGCAGCGCTGGCGACCCGACCGGCCGGGGCTGGATCTGCCGATAACTGAGAGCGAGGCGGCGCCAGGCGTCCACAGGAGCCGGCGAGCTGGACGGAGGCTCGGCCCGGAGAGAGACACCTGTGGCTCGGACATGACCGGAGTGGTGAGTGGAGAGTGGTGGTGCAGCCGTCGACGGAGTCGCCACTGGACGGGGCAGGTCCCATATAGCTCGTCAGTTGGAATAAAGCACAAGGAGTTCCACCATGACATGCCCCCGCTACAGTTTTATTATTATCATCCAGGCACGATGGCTCGTTTAGGAGTTTGGTTCATTCCAGCCAAATCCAGCCTCTACCAGACGCGTGCAGTGCGGCGCTGTCGGTCAGTCCCTCGGTCCGCCGTTCAGCGGGCGAGTTACACCCGCCGCCGTCGCCGCTCGGACAGATTACTGCCCAGCCGTGCTGATGCGGTATTATATAATACTGAACGAGGCCGGTGTAAATAAATTTTCAAGACCGAGGTCCTTACTGGATTTTTGAACGAGGCCGAAGGCCGAGTTCAAAAATCAGTAAGGACTGAGGTCTTGAAAATTTATCACCGGCCGAGTTTGGTATGTATTTTACTGTATGCCAACGATAAATTTATTTTCTGGACCGAAGCTCTTAGCCGACTTAGGAACGAGACCATCCCAAAATGTTGGCTTAAGTGCATTCTGGTAATGCATTTTTGACCGTGGTCAATTTGCTTACACCAGTTATTACCACACCCCTCTGGCTAATGTATTTGAATAGGCCAGGCATACAGTAAAAACAGTTCCAGGAATCCTGCCAGCCCGTGGCCGGACGCGAGGGGAGCGCGGCGTCAGTGCGCCACGGGGCCGCCGCGCAGGGGACGCCGGGGATGGTTGAGGAAAGGACTGTGCAGTGTGCGGTCAAGGGGTTGAGAGGTAATGACACGTGAGAGACAGGGGAATAGCCCACCGGTCACAACGTGGCGCAGCATTTCAGGATGCCAGTTGACTAACTGATGGTCAACACTATCGGCTTTTACTCCCTCTAATAGAGGACAATCCGAAGGCCGTTTGTGGTTCATGAATCATATCAGCAAATACTCATCTGTAATCACTAGAAAACGAGTTGAGCAGGACGGCAGATTACAAGAGGATTAG